TGTGTAATTTTTACAAGATGAATAAGATTGTTTCTCTAGAAGTATCTTAATGTGAAGGTATTGACTGTAATTAATCAAACAACTAATTCCATACTGTTCTTCTCCTAAATTATGACAGCTTATGCTCTGAATCTTCTATGAAACTACATATCCAGACATCAATATCTTCTGTTCGGTTTAGATTTCATTAACAAATTACTAAAAAAGAACAATTGGAATTCAAATTAATACCTCTTGGCTAGAAAAGCTAACCGGTCTCGAAGAATACCTAGCCGAAAGCTCCTCTCCGACCACCCCTGAATCCACGACCTCCTCTTTTCCGGCCACCAGCGGCAGCGGCGGCGCCGCCTTCCCCACCGGCGACTCAGCCACCACGATCTCAACAACGTGGACTTCCCACAGCACCCAATTCCTTGTGGCCGTCCGGTGGGGCACGTCATGGGTCACCGAGTTCCTCCACGGAGGCGGGCCGCCGTTGGCCCTGAGGAACTGGCCGTACCTCGTCTTCAGCTTGACGGCGCCGCCACCACCGTCCCTGACGGGCAGCCACTCGACGGAGCTGTCCAGGCGCTTGGGCGGCAGCGTCTGCAGGACCTTCCGGCCGGTCATCCCAAGCAGAAAGGGCTGGTTTGACGCCGTCAGATACTTCCCGTAACAGCTCTTGAGCCGGATGATGTCTCCGGCGGAGGACTCGACGAACTCGACGGTCCAGCGGGCGTTGGAGGACGAGCCGTTCCGGTCGAGGGTAACGGACTCCTCGTCCTCCTCGGCCGTCAGGTACTTGCCGTGGGCGCTTTTCAGGCGGACGATTTTGGCCCTCTGGAATATCTCCATAGCTGTTGGGCGGGGTCAAATTTAGGATAAGATCGAAAAAAGAAAAAGGAGAATTTGCGTTAAAGAATGGTCTTTTTTTTTTTACAATTTGAGCGGGTCTCTTTGTTGAAGGGGATTTTGTTGGGGGGACTGAAATAAATGGGTATCGGTTTTATATAGGAGGGAATAAATAAGGGGAAGTTTCTTATTAGGACATTGTTGGGGAAACTTTTTGAATTGGCGCCAGCTAATGTTCGTTATGTGGGACCGTCCGAACGCGGTCATGATGACTCATGTGATAAACATGATTGAAATTTCATTTAACCTTACTAAAAGCTAAAAACCGAGTACAACACCATTCCTTTCCATATAGTTACCATTTCTAATAGTATTAATTATGGGGATATTAATTTTTTCATATATCTATATATAAAATAGAAAGATTTTCTCTCCATAAAAGTTATTGATTACTGAATAAGGATATATTTTTTAAAAATATTCTTATTGATATTTTGTTCCATATTTCATTTCGCTATTTTTTTTTACAATCTGTGATGAGATTTTAATTTTTTTTTTTAAATTTGATTTGAATCTATTAATTAAATTGTAAAAAGTTAATTAATTCTTTTATTTCTACTTAATCATTTTTTTATATCAATAATTTGATATAAAACTTTTTTTAAAAAATACAATCAATTGTTTCATTTCCACCTAATATATAATTTTATTTGATTAAAAAAATATAAAGTAAGGGAGATGTTTATAGATTAATCACTCCAATGATAATTATTCAATGATATTTTATTTGTTGATTATTTTTATATATAATATTAAATTAGCCTTTGTTATTCAATCTTCAATTTGACATTTATATTGTATGTATAAATAATAAATAATTATTTGTAAAGTATTCATAAGTTCGTTAGTTAATATTGCATATATAAAATGAACTTGTATAAAGTTATTCATACAATAATATAAATGTATATATAATAAAATGTATTTATATAAAATAACCTGAAATATTAACAGGTATATCTATCTCACATGGGTGTAAAAATTAAATGCTAAAAAAGTTAAAATATAAGTAACTAATTATTTCGAAGATTAGGTGTATATAATATTAAATTGATAAACCAATAGGTCATTTGTCGAATTATCATATAGATTTTCAAAGTATAAAGAACCAAAATATTAATAATATATTTTTATAAATTACGATAAATCAATAAGTAATTTGTCTAACTGTCATGTAAATTATAAGTTTGTTAAGAAAAATCAAAATATTTATTATATATGTTGTTATGAATTATAATGATAAACCAACGAGTCATATGTCGAATAACTATGTAAATTGCTAGCTTGAAAAAAAAAAAAAGAGTCTCAACAGCTCAGTTGGTTGTTGTTAACAAAGCAGCGGTGGATCTGTACCACTTTATGGTGCACTTGGTGACAGAGATTGGCAACTAGGATAGATCGGACTTTGCTTTCAACTTCGCTTTTTAATAGCCCAAAATCAATTTATTAGTCACATGGTCTGGGTAGATCAAGAAAACGGCGGTAGCAGCTTCGAAAAGTTTGTTCCCCTCGCAGCAAGGAGAGAATGGGAAGCGTCTCTATTTTTTAAAAATCAAAATACTCATTTTCACCCAACAAACTTTTCGAAGCGAAGCTTATGAGGGTTGGTGGTGCAGGGTATCGGTGATCTGTTGCAACTTTCAATTTAAGTCGAAAATTCTATTTTTTTCCTCTGTTCTCTCTCGAATAGACTATCGATAAGGGCGTAGATGCTATTTCTTATGGCCTGGCTATGTAGGCTCGATATAATTGACCTAGGGGCAGGAAGGTTTCTTTGGCATTTCAGTTACTTTGGATAGGGAAAGCCTATCCTTTTTTTACCTCGTCTGGATTGCTATTGGTTTGCTGGTTCGATGTAATTGACCTTTCTCTTCTTTCTTCACTCGAGTACTTCTATGTGCTGCTTTCCCGTATGGGTGAAATGAAAAGTATCAACGTTGTAGTGCTTCCAATAGCAGAGCCGTGGATCGGCCGGCACAGGCAAGCTTCATACCAGGGCAACTTCATATGTTTATAAATTATAATGTACACTATAAAAAATTAAAGTACTTTTTTAAATATATGATTGAAAACTAGTAAATTTTATAAAAGTAAAACAATATATAATATGTTATTGTTAAATTAAGTGTTAGTTTATAATATTTACCATAAATTTTTAACTTTACCATTATTTATTTAGGAACGAAATAATATATTGTAATAAAGTATGAATATAAGAGATAAAAATATTATCGTGAGTATTAATTCTTAATAATTTTTTAATATATTAAATTTTCATGTTCCTTAATTCTAGACATGAACTCTATAATAACAATCATTTTATAACTGGTGAAATAAATATATAAGCTTAGAAATAAGAGTAAATACATTTATAACATATATGGTTATAAACTATGATGGCAAACCAATTAATCAATATATGTCGAATTATCCACGCAAATTATAAATTTAGAAATAAAATTTAAAATAGTTATAATATATATTGTTAATTTGTTATAAATTATAATGATAAACCAACTGTCATCTGTTGAACAACAATGTAAATTGTTGGCTTAAGAAAACAAAATTATAATATATATTGTCATAAATTATAATGATAAATCAACTAGTGTTGAACAACCATGTGAATTATTGGATTAGAATGAAAAGTCAAAGACATTATTATAAGCTATGATAATTAACATGATTTTAAATTAAAAATCAACAATTTATGACTTTCAAATAATAAACACTACATTCTTTTTAAAAAGGTATTGGTTTATAAAATTTTCCACAATTCAACTCTACCATCACTTATTTGAGAATCGAAGTAATATATTGTACTAATGTATAAGTAATGAAATAGAACGAATGATTTTTTCTAAGTATTATTTATTGATAATATTTTAATATGTTAAATTTTCACGTTTCATAATTCTACACACTAACATATATAGAGCTCATGGTACTTGAGCTCAAACTCGAACTCAGCTTGATTTGTTTACACTCTCAATAGAGGCTTAGCGCCAAGCCAACTAGACCAGAATTAAACGATGTCTAAGTGAAGTCGTATAATTATTAAATTTATTTATATGTCTAATCATACATAATTTAAATTAAAGTATATAAGATATACTAATTAATATGCTTTATTAATACAAAAAAGTGTGTAATATGATATATGCATAACTTTATCTTAATTTTAATCCTAGTTCTATTACTTTTAAATTTCATTGTTCTTGTGTCTCCCTTATACGGAATATTAAATTTATTTTTATTATATTTTTAAAAAGTAAAAAATAATATAAAATTTATATAGACACATAAGTGGTACCGAAACCACTTAAGTGTTGTTTGACCCGTTTACACGACGTCTAATTACTCGAGTACTTAAGACTTAGGAGGTATAAAAAACAAATATCGAGACACGCAAGTGTTGCCTAGACGACGTCTAATTACTCAAGTACTTAGGACTTAGAATGTATAAAAAAAAATATCGAGAGACTCAAGTGTCGTCTAGACAGAAATCTAGAGTACTCGGGACTTAAGAGGTATAAAAAAAAGAGTGATGCTATTGAACCAACTTGATGATACATTTACATTTGAGTTGTAGCTCAAGTTGTCATCCAAGTAAGTTAAATAATATTATTAAAAAAATAAATATCGAAACACTCTAAGTACCCGATTTTTTTACCCAAAAAACAAAATTATAAGTTAATTGGACAAAAACAAAACAAAACAAAAAAGTTGTGAAAATCAATAAAAAACACGTATTCTTTGAATACGTTTTTTCATGTAATTTTCCTTGAAATGTATGTAGAAAATACGTTTTTCAATGAAATTTATAAAAAAAACGTATTATGAGAATACTAGCTTTTGATTTTGGTCCAGATTTTTTTTTTTGCTTTTATTTGTGTCCACTTGTTTTTTTTTTTTTTTTTTTTTTATATAAATTACCCCTAAGTGCCGCCTATGCCGGAATCTAACCCTACTTTTCAAGTACTAGTGCGTAGCCCGTGCGATGCACGGGTAAACAATATGACTTTCATAGCATGTAAAATTGTATTATCACATATGCATAATAAAATCTACATCTTATGTTCATATTTTATGTTTTTTAATGGAATAAATTCCTTCATTTTAGGGATCATATTTATTTAATCTGTTCAAATTTGTCTACATATCGACAATTTAAATTTTGAATTTGAAGATAACCCGAATCTATGATTGCAAAATATCGTTTAATAATTAAATCAGCCGCAACTTTAGGATTTGGTATTTGAAACTTAGAAAAAAGTAAAATCATTAATTTAGGATAGATATGTGATAAATCTATATAGATCTTGTATGCATCACATTTTACAATTAAAACAATTTAAATATGGAGATTAAGATATTTTGAATCTCTGATTTAAACAAACACCATAAAAAATTTGATTTTGTATTTTGAAACTAAAAAAAAAACATTAATTTAGAGGATGATATGTGATAAATCTATCTAAATCTTGTATACATCACGTTTTAAAATTAAAACAATTTAAATATGGAGATTATTGTTATTTCAAATCTCTGATTTAAACAAAGACCATAAAAATTTTAATCGTTTCAAAATTAGACCCGTGTAGTATTTTTCGTTATAAATAATTGTCAAACAAAACAATTGAATTATCCGCAACTTTATTCTTTTAATTGAAACTGCCCGATTTGATGGTTAGAAAAAATATTTTCAAAAGAAATAAACAAATAATTTTTTTATTTTTTTTATATTCTTACCCTTAAATTAGCCGTAATTTTGTTTAAACAAAATTTTCTAATCAAAACATATGTATTAGCCGATTTTATAGAAAATAAAAAGTTTTCGATATTTGAAAATACAAAAGCATATTTTTATGGTTAGAAAAAATAACACATAAATTTTATTATTATTAAATCAGTCGTAATTTTTTTAATAAAAAAATCGCCAAGCAAAGCAATTGTATTAGCCGAATATCTGGTTTTAAATTTGGAGAATATAACTGACCGATATTTAATTGAATTAGCAATCGTGGCGTACATTTCTATTCAAACTTAAAAATAGCTTATAGTAACCAATAACCAAATTTAATTGATGCAACACGTGCA